GGAGAGGCTTGTGGAAGCCGGTGGTGGCAGTTGGGCTCTGAGGGTTTTTCCTGAGGAGCTGTTTTGTTTGGCGTTTGTAGTTTTAAAAATAAAGTTTGTTTCTTTTGACAAGTGGCTCCTGAATTGTGCCCAGTCAGACTGCGGCAATGATGATGTTCTGACATCAAGAAGAACACTGGACCCAAGAGACTTCCTGTAAGTTTCTTTCAATTACAGAGCCTTTAGGCTTGGTATCACTCTAAAGTAGGCAAAGCTGGTCTCCAAGATTTCCCTAGTACCACCTCCTCTCCCTAATGACACTGGTCCCCAGAGCAGAAACCTGGCCTTTCAGTGACCATTGAATTTCTTAAGCTCAACAGCATCAAGCTTTCAAGGACTTTTCTAACACTTCTGTCTAGTTTCAGAAATCTTTCTATTGTACCCGTGAAGTGTTCTGAACAAAACAGTTAAAACTGAATACATTTAAGTCTCCCAAGTCAACTTTCTATTCAGAGGAAATATGGAGTTTGAAAACAAATTTCCCAACACCAGAAAGAAACAGATAGACTAATCCAGAACATGATTGTGGGCTGTTCTACAGGACCAATGATCTAATCTCSACAAGTCACTGGCAGGGGGAAAAAAGAGAAAGAACTGCTAAAAGATAGAGCAAGAAAAGGTAAAGACTCTGGATCCTAATGGAAGCAGACCAACTAGGAAGAAAAGAAGGCCTTCAAGGCCATCAGGAAATTCCATGGACTTATAACTGCCAATACCAAATAATTAGCAGCAGCATTGTGGTCATGCAGTAAAATGTCCACAGATTTTAGATGCATCCTAAAATATGCAGTGATAAACTGACACTGTCTGAGTTTGCTTTAAAATGCTTCAAAAAGAAAAAAAAAGGAACAAATTGATGAACCAAATACAGTACATCTTATTAACGAAACTGGGTGCTGGGTGTACGGAACTTTCTTAGACCAGTCTCTCTACTTTAGAGACATCTGAAAGTGTAAGTGTCTTATTCTATAGAAGTAGTAATTAGATTTAATTGTTTTAATTACTACTATTTTTTGCTGAGGGGTATGCTACTATTTCACCTTTCCTGTTTATTTTTGAATTCCAGTTTCCGGAAGACTGTCACAGAATCATGGCCCTGTTTGGGATTTCTGGCAACATGACAAATGAGTGACACATTTGAGTTTGGTGAGTGTGCAGCAGTTCCTGCTGTTATCTCTGTCTTTTCCAGGAAAACCCAAAACTATTGTTGGCCACGGGACCGTGGTTAGATAGGTTGGGGACTCAACTGGCCTCTGAGTGGCCATACAACTCCCTAGTGTGGGTCTGCTAGCAACTGGGTAGAACTGCAGACCCAGAGGAGAGACATCACAGCCTCTTAGAGCTGAATCCACCTTCTATATGGGCTTACTCGGAATCTACCTACCCCTTTGCAGCAAACTGTTCCAATGCACAGACTCTCTTCAGGAGCTGGTCAATGGCCTAAATTGTCAGTTTATACTGAGAACATGCTGCTTATCCAGCCCCAGCAAGAGTCCATATCCTCTCACTGATAACAAGATACTTCCTGTACCCTGCCTGGATGTTGCAAGTCACTGCTTTCGGAGAGGATAAAAAAGGTGCAAGGCTGGCTTCCTGGGAAGGCCCAGGAAAGAGCACAGGGGGAGCACAGGGAGGAGGGGCTGCCCTGTGGAGAAGAAGCAATGTTGACAACATTCATCTCCAGGACAGTGTCTCCAGAATTCAGGAAGTACTATGTAGCAAAAAAAGTGTAAAAAGGCAAGAAAGAAACAGCCCGTTACCTCTGCAGGCATATATGTGAGTCTAGAAATAAAGGTGGACCACAGGGCACGAACTAACTAAAACACTCCAAAATTTCACACAACAAAGATGCCTCTTTAAAAAATCCAGAGTGAAATGGCTATCCCCCTTTCAAGACAAGGTCTCTTTTAGGAGGAACAGAAGTAGAAAGGGACCAAAAGCATCTGGCTGTTTCTCCAGACCAGGTGCAATGCAAAGAAATGACCTCAAACACAGTAGAGTAGTCCGTGGTTTCTTCCACTAAAAATCAAGACAGAAATTAGCTTCTTCCTTTTCTCACTACTTCTTCCTTTTCTCACTACATAAGAGCTTTAATGGAGGTAAACATTTTTAAAAATCAAATCTCTTTATCTCATAAAGTTCTAATGATCTCCCTAGTTAAAAATTCTCCCAAGACCAAGTTGTATAAAGAGTATTACGTGCACCCAGCAGAAAGGCAGAGATGATATAAGTAGAGAAAAATTCTTAAAAACTTTTATGTTACCAGAGAGGTTGTAGATACAAGGCCATATGTACTTCCAGAGAACAGCGACCTTATGTGAATTAGCAGAGGGCTTCCAGGGGATAGGAATAATTCTCTTGCTTGCTCTGCGGTAGGGATTAATAGAAAGAAGCAGAAAAGAATATCATTTGGAACTGAGCTTCCTATCTAGGAGAGGGAGGAAGCATACAAAAGCCTCTGGATCTGTGTCAAGGGAGTGAATGATATTTTAAAAGTGTGGCAGGAAACCAAAGAGCTACACCCACACGCAAAGCTCAACTGCTTCCCGAACACTAACTAGACCACAAACTTCCCCAGCTGGGAGGCACTGGCGGGACTGGAAGTGCTGAGAAGGGTGTGGCTGCCTGGCCCTATTGCTTAGTGACTTTCCCAGATGAGGGTGGAGGGACTTGACTGTATTCTGAAGAAATGCTCACATTCAGCCTTAGGCACAGGGGCCCCTGGCAAGACCAGAAACAAACAAAAAGGGAAATTACAGTGAGGAATAGTTTACCTTCGGAGAACAGTTGAAATGCATACCGGGTACTGGGAGTGTAGTTACATACATTGTAATACACCGATACAGGTACAGCGTGCCAACTATGCAGAAAAATCTTCTGCTAATAATAGACCTAGAAAAAGGGAAAAACAGGGCAGATTCTCAGTCAAGAAATTCTGCAGGTTCATTTAAAGTTTTTAATGACCCAACAAAACAAACCCAAAAAAGTACTTGAGAACTTGATAACAGAATGTTGTAACTTGAGGATTTGGAGGGTAATGTGTTGTGTTAAAAAAAAAAAAATTAACTGGTGCTAAGGGCACAGCTCAGTACTTGCCTAGCATGCATGAGGCCCTGGGCTGGGTTCCACCCCAATACACACACACACACACACACACACACACACACACACGTTGGTCAAAAAGAATTCAAACTGCGCTATGCTGCTATTAATTAGGATTCATGAAGCTTTAAACCTGAGTTGTCATTCAAATGATGGGTGAGCTGAATCTACTCAGTACCTCTGATTAAACATAAAGTATCTTCTCTGTCAAAAAAGGGATGATGCCCAGAAAATCAGAATGACATTAGAATGAGAATTTAAAATTTTTATGCCATTCAATGAGTTAAAAGACATTAAGCAATTATACATGTACATACAAGAAACCAATTTTCTTAGGCAACACAGTGTCAAGTTGAAGAACCCATGTGGAAGACAGAATCCAACCCCCACTCCACTTCCCAATCACTATGGGCCTCAGAATAGACTATTTACTTCTTTCAGTCTCAATTTTCTCATCAGTAAAGTAGGGATAATAGCCTTAAAAATAAAGCATGGAAAATTCCTACTACTTAGTAGGTATAAATAGTATCTACCAAACAAATAGCCATATTGATGAATAAAACTCTAAGCAAGAAATTGAAAAAGTTTTTATCAGTGGCTCTAATGAAATTATTTGATGTACACATGTGAACATGTATACTGAATGTGATAACTTCTCCTAATATCAAATTCCACCTAAGTTTGTACGACTTAACCTCAGCAGAATAATCTTAAGTGTCTCCTTGGACAAGAATATTCCTGCTCTACCTTCCTCCCATTCTATCACAGGTCAGAACCATGTCCTCTGAATCTCCTCTTCCTCAACCCTGGAGATTCAAGTTTTCCTTGGCCTAGAGCAACCTGATTCGAATAACATGAAACACTTAGAAATAGTGGATAGGCTTTCCTCTTAGATATGAACATTGAGTCATTCTATAGTTACGCAGTGTAGCGGTTTTTATGCAGGATGACATGCCTACCAAAGTGTGGTAGCTACAGAAAAATTTGTCTCATTCATACTTTTTGTTTTAACAAGAGGAATGAAATGATAAAGTTATTTGTATGGTTAAAATTAATTTTAAAAAATACAAAACTGTGGTAGCATTTCATTTACATACACAGAGTCAATTGGGTTTTATCACTATAATCTGGATGTTTTGTCTCCTTATCTACATTTTATAAACTCGGTCAGAAACATCTGCCACAGAAGATGTCTTTGCTTATTTCTCTTGGTGAAGAAGACAAGAACTTATTCAGCATACAGTTGTCTTGGAAAGGCATGTGCCTCTAATTTCAAGTATAAAGAAAAGCACAAACATAACTGAATAGTGAGACAAAACTAAAGAAAAATGCCTGTCTATAAATGATGTCCAGAATACCATAGAAGAAAAACGAAAGTAAATTGTGCTGTGGTGAACTCTAACAGCTGTCTTTCTTAAAAAGAAAATGCTCTCTCAAACATAAATTATTTGCAATTTCACCTGATCTATATGAGAGAAAACATCAAAACTAGACCTGTTGGAAGTCTTTAGAGGAAGAGAAATAAAATTACTGCTTTTGGTAAACAACACTATCTTAAAATCATTTTGCCCGATTATTTCACTGCACACAAAAGATAACCACACTCACTTCAACATCTATTTCCAAATCTCAAACTTGAGTCATATGAGTAGCCTGAAGTGATTTCAGTTATCTTGACAATGAGGAGTATGAAAAAAGTGATAAAGGACTAAAAAAGGCAACTCATTTAAAAAAAAAAATTAACTAAAAACAATGCATGTTCAGTTACATTTACTATTTGACTCGAAGTATAAAAAAAATGGAATGAAGTTATTCATGTGAATTTATCAATGTTAATAATAAGGTGACAAGTTCAAAGTGGTTGTTAAGAATTTTCTGATCTTTGGTATTTACTTAATCTTTTTGAAATTAAGCTTAGAATGTCTTCAATGTGTAATGTTAAACAAGGATCTCCTACCACCAAAGTTAAAAAGTAGAGCACAACAGTGTTTCAAAGAACTGTATACACTTCTGGGCATTTGCTTCCTTAATCAAAGAATTTCACACATTTGGATTTCTTAGTTACTTAAAGGTTTAAAAGCTCACAAGATGTTACAAAAAAGAAAAGAAAAAGAACCACAAAAGAAACGTTAATTAGATATTAAGAGATTAATCCAATACCAATAAGAAGATGCATGGTATCATCCTCAAAATCCCCTGGTTCTCTCTTCCCAGATGGGATGTACCTCTCCTGCCACGCGTCCTGTGTGCTCACACTCAGCAATAATTAGCATCTCAAAAAGCTGTATTTGGACATAATTACCTATTTTTTCTTAAATATTTAAGCATAAGGTTCACTATTATTTTTTCTGAGAAAAGAAAAACATACCTGTTAAATTTGATTATAAGGAAATATGAATGAAAGTTGTTCATATTCTGTAGATTATTTTTAAGACTTGCTAGAACAGTGGGTTATACAGGTGACTTATTATTTTTTTTTTAAATATTTATTTATTTTTAGTTCTTGGCGGACACAACATCTTTGTTGGTATGTGGTGCTGAGGATCGAACCCGGGCCGCACGCATGCCAGGCGAGCGCGCTACCGCTTGAGCCACATCCCCAGCCCCCAGGTGACTTATTATTAAACCTTTTTTTTTTTTTTTTTTTGAGGTGCTGGTGATTGAGCTCAGGGCCTACTGAATGCTTGGCAAGTGCTCTACTACTGAGCTTCACCCACTAGCTCCCTTTTATGCTTTTTAATACCCCTTATCTAGAAAACAAAAACATGCTCGAAGTAGATTACATTTTGCCAAATCTAGGCTTAAAACAGCACAACTATAACATTTTTGGCATTTGCTATGATAGTCTAAAATTTTTAAAAAATGGTTAATGAAAGAAATTAATAGACTATAAAGTACAACTAAAATACTGGAAAGTTCTTTTATTTCCCACAATGTCTCTTTCAAATAATCCACAATAGGAAGACATACACAACTCTGGGCGTATTGGAGAGATCTGACTATTTGCTAATAATATGACCCCTGAAGAAATACCTCAATTGAAAAAAAAGAGTTTTGATAGTGTCATAATTGACTTTAAATAAAATTATTTCATTTACCCAAATTCTTATATTTTCTAATAAGAAAAAAACCTTTTAAAGAAATTATAGGTAATGAGTATAATGGTACCATTCCTGGTCCTATTTCATAGACTTTCCATTATTTCTAATCCATTTCTCCAATTAGACATTTTTTTCTGGCTCTTTGTGAAGCTATTGGCTTTCAGAAACAGGACCTGGCACACAGTAGTGGAGCTAAGAGGCAAATAAACAAGGGAGAGCACAGGAACCCTGATACAGAGTCAAGGAGACACTTGTCTCTGGTGCAGTCCTCAAGGCCAGTGTGTAACTCAGGTTCCTGCTGAGTGACTCCAGCATGTGAAACACAACGGCACTAGCTGAGCAGTATCTTTAGTTGGAGGCTAGTTCATTTGGTGACCTTGACCATCTCAATGAAGTTCCTTGAAAACTAGTTTCCTCATCAGCAAAAGGAGAAAAAGGACACTGCCAGAGAAGTGGGTTAGGAATAAATGGAAAGGCTATGGAAAACAACCGAGAATGGTCACCAGAATACTCATCAACTGTGATTTCTTCGACATTTCTTCTTAAAAAGTTGTCTCTGAATAAAATAATTTCATTTTTCTAACTACCACACTACCAAATAAAGTTAGTAAGATATCAGGGGTGATAGGAACAGTACCAACTGTTTTGCCAAATTGCTCTTACATGTCTAGCTCTGTGCCATTTACTTCCTACAACACCCAGCAATGTGTGGCTATGGCCCTTATTCTACAGATGGGAAAACTGAGGTTTAGAGTCTGAAGTGAAATGTAGATATAGTACATAACACAATAACATTTAGACAAAATTATTTCACATTAGGTAACAAATCCCGCTGTTGAGTACTAACAGGCAAGTTAACATACTATCACATTTTGTTTACATTTCAAAAGTTACTTAACTCTGGTGAATGTTTTTGGTGTTTTTTTCTGGTATGAGATAACTGTACTTATGTGGGTTTGTTTCTGTGTCTTCTATTTTGTATCACTGGTCTACCAGAGTCTGTTTTGGTGACAATACCATGTCTACGAGTCTGTTTTGGTGACAATTACCATGCCGTTTTTGTTACTATGGCTCTGTAGTATAGTTTAAAGTCTGATATAGTGATGCTTCCTGCTTCCCTTTTCTTGCTAAGGATTGCTTTAGCTATTTGGGGTCTTTTATTTTTCCAAATAAATTTCATGATTGTTTTTTCTACTTAAATGAAAAATGTCATTGGGATTTTAATTGGAATTGCATTAAATCTGTATGGTGTTTTTGATAGTATGGCCATTTTGACTATTAATTCTCCCTTTATAGGAGCATGGGAGGTCTTTGCATCTTCTAAGGTCTTCTTCAATTTCTTTCTTTAGTGTACTATAGTTTTCATTGTAGAGGTCTTTCACTTCTTTTGTTAAATTGATTCTCATGTATTTTATTTTATTTTTTTTGAAGCTACTGTGAATGGGGTTGTTTTCCTAATTTCTCTTTTAGTAGATTTGTCACTAATATATAGAAACATGTTTGATTTATGGGTGTTGATTTTATAACCTGCTATTTGGCTGAATTCATTTATGAGTTTTAGAAGTTTCTGGTGAAATTTTTTGGCTGTTCTAAATATAGAATCATATCATTGGCAAATAGTGACAGTTTTGAATTCTTTTCCTATTCGTATCCCTTTAGTTTCTTTTTCCTGCCTAATTGTTCTGGCTA